CAACCAACCAACCAACCAACCACTATACCAATCAACTAACCAACCAATCAAACAAACAAACAAACAAACAAACAAACAATCAACCAACCAACCAATCAATCAATCAATCAACTAACCAATCAATCAACCTACCAACCAATAAACCATCCAACCAATCAACCAATGAACCAATCAACCAACCAACCAATCAACCAACCAACCAACGAATCAACCAACCAACCAATATACCAACCAATCAACCAACCAAACGTGCCTACGACGTGGTGGCGGCGGTGTTGTTTATTGCTGGGAACTTCACGTACCTCGGGAGGAAGTGGAGTGGCGAGCGCAGAGATTTCGGCGCCCTCCACCCGCCGGAAGTGACCCGGAGTGCAGCGGTCAGAGCCCTTGCGTCAGACTGCGAGTGTCAGGGTTGGAGACCTCGGTCACTCCGTGTGGCATTCGGGTAGACCAAACAATTCGCATCCCTTATTGCGCTGTACTATTTCTTCTAGACGTAAGAAAATTGTAAGATTTGTAATAATTAAGAAACAAAATAAGTTAGGAATAATTTTGTTTGAAAAACGACAATCATCTCACTAATAAGCACTCCGTCCATACTGTTGAACCTGTGAAAACCAGAACAATTGTAATGTATTTCCAATACTACGCAATGTGCGGTGTACTCAATTTGCCGTACAGAATATGCGGGACATCCGTCTATAACATATGTAGCGTAAGCAGAATATGGACGGCGACGCGATGCGATTTTGATCAAGAAAAATCGTTCCAGCTTTAGGCGGGTGGAGTGCAGTGAGATTTTTTTTTAGGTTTATGCTTTTCTAGGTTTATGAAATTTAGTATAAACTAACCTCAGAAGCAAACAGAAACCGAACTCACCAATGATTTGTTGCCTAATTATGTTATAATAATGGTGGTAAAATGTTTTCGAAATTATAATGACATTGATTTAAATTTACAATTAAAGCAGTCAATGAACAACGCCCATTCGGAAAAACACCTTTAATTATAATTAGAGAAGTGATCCAATATATTACAAACATTAATGTACATGACAGCATTGTATATATTCTATGAAATGTGATTACGATACGAATTAAAACAAATACAAATTAATGAGAACGTAATGAAGTAGTATATATAATTAAAAAGTAGTTCTCGGAGTTCGTATAAGGATAGTTTATTGGTATTTCTCTCCACTGGAGTTTTATGAATTAATTTAAAGTAAACTACACAAAAAGGTAAGAAAAATGGACAACCAGTACCTCTTTATTATGGGTGTGGGTACCGTTAGTATTAGTTTTTTGTTTCTCTAAATGAAAGATGATGGACACTCATTACTTCAAAACATTCCCTGGATTAGAGTTAGTTGTCAAACGATTAGTGTTACTTGTGAAAATAATAATTACAAATTTCCACATCGTACAAAGGCTTTACATTACTTATGCAAAATACTTCATAACAGTACAATCTCCATTCGAGTAAACAAGAAAACGTTTTTTTACAGATATAGATTTAAAGCTCTAAATCTCGCGATCTTACAAAGTACTCTAAATATTGCAGTTTGTTAAATAATATTCGTAGAATTAATGATTGATTATCATAATTGACTACAACATAAATAATCGGTATTTTTATAAAGATTTACGTCTCAATTTCATTTTATGTAAATAGGAAATTAACGTTCTTTCGTAAAAGATTCAATGACATGTTTTCTGGAGAAAAAAGTATTTGTATGAGCTGGACATTCAGGCAGTGCTCTCACAAAGGCAGCCTTCAATGGCTCCTCAATATTATAACACTCCATCTTTAGCAGACCTAGTCTAGTGTGCCTGTCCGAGCCGGCGTTCTTGAGCAGATCCACTCACGCAGGCAGCTTGAGCAGGCCAGCTTGAGCAGGTCTACTCGAGCTTGACTGCTTGAGCCCACGATGGAAAAACGTGAGCTATTGCGCATTGTATCTAATAGCAGCGAGTGAGCTTCAGTCACCAGTTTGCATCACAATATTAGGGGGAATTTTAAATGCAGCCAGACCCCAAAATGATCACCTTGTTGCACGTCATTGAAATTTATCTGAGAAGCATTTAAAAAAATATTGCTTCTTTTTTCTCAATTACACCATCGTGTTATTTTTCATTGAAAATGATAACTTTATGCTACTTTCAAACTCTTCAACAGCTAAAACTCAATACCTCTCACTCTCTATACAACATGGCGGCTGTCTGGTCTGACTTTTCAAACGAAGTACCCGTGTTGTGGTCACGTGGTTCGCGACGTAAACTAGTGATGTGCAGATCGAGAAATAATCGGTGCTCTGAACTAGCTCACACATGTCTTTCCATAATGCTCGAACCGGCCAACTTGAGCAGGTCTACTCGATCATGCCTGCTCGAATCTCCCTTCTTCAGCAGCTATACTCGTGTATGCCCACTCTAGTCGCCCTACTTTAAGCAGGTGTACTTGTGCCAGACTGCCCGAGCCTGCCTACTTGAGCAGGTGCCCTCGAGCTCACCCGCTCGAGCCGGCCTCCTTGAGCAGGTGCCCTCGAGCACGCCCGCTCGAGCCGGCCGTCTTGAGCAGGTGCCCTCGAGCACGCCCGCTCGAGCCGACCTTCTTGAGCAGGACGACTCGAGCACGCCCGCTCGAGCCGGCCTACTTGAGCAGGCCCCGGTCGGCCAGCTCGAGCACGAGGTCCCCGAAGGCGCGGGCGAAGGCGTCGCCGGGGGCGTTGGAAGTGATGAACTCCTCTGCGACCGCCGCCGCCGCCGCGGCGCCACCGTCGCCGTCCCCGCCCTCGCCGTCCTCGCCTTCCTCGGCCGGCACGCGCACGGTCGCCGCGTTGAGTTGCAGGCGCAGCGACAGGTCGGCCGTCAGCAGCCCGTACACGGCGAAGTCCTCCACCTGCGAGGACAGAAGCGGCTAGCGTTAGGAACCAATCTTGTATTTGTTGATTCCTTCTTGTTTTCACTATGTCAGTCGTTCTTTCGTTCGCTTATTCATTCATTTCTGAATGAATGAATCCATTTACTCATCCAAAATATTTTTTTCTCCCTTCCCGCCTTCGTCAACTTCTTCCCACCTTCCTAACATACTTCCCTACTTTTCTCCCTCCTCTCTCTTCCCTCCTGCTTTCGTCCTTCCCTCTTTCTTTACTTTCCTCTCTCCCGTACTGCCTACCCGTCTTCCATTATGTCCCCTCCTTCCTCCCCTCATTCCTTCCTTTCTTCGTTTCTTCCTCACCTTATTTCTCTCTTTCCATCCTTCCCTCTTTTGATCCCTTCTTTCTTCCATCCTTCCCTTCTTTCCTCTTTCCTCCCCTTCTTCATTTTCCCTTCCTTTTCTGCTTTGTTTCCTACTCTCCATCCTTTCTTCTGACTTTTCCTCTTTCCTTTCTTCCCTCTTTCCTATCTCTCGTCTTTGCTTTCTTCCCTTATTTCTCCCATCTTCATTCCCACATACATTGTTCTCTTCACAAAAATAATTACGAGTATACCTACTCATTGTATTGCATGCTATATATAATTGTGTGCGTAATCTTCGGTAACCTTCGTTATTGAATCTTACTGAAAGGATTTTTAATTCACGCATCTTGTGAAACTGTCTTTACTATCTGATGCGTGCCTAATGTGTGGCATGCCCATGTACGTTTTTATTGGAATTACGGTTGTTGCTTCGTTCTGACAAAGCCAATGCTGAGCATCTCCTGGGGGCACAAACCTGTATCATGATCTAAAAACAGATGAATCTTTAGTAGAAGGGTCAGCATGAGTCGACCGGGTTGCCACCGGTTTTCGCGCAGTCAGGATGTGCCATAAAGTGTGAGGAAATAGCGGGAACGCCTTCTATCCACGTGGGGGATTCCTCTGCAGCGTTTGAAGTTCCAAAATGCTCATTAGTTTCAGGCATAGGGGCTGACTGATGTTGTTACTCAGTTATGTTTCCGCTTGTGATTTTCTCGCGATATGCAGTTTTTATATTAATTCACAGCCTGATTTTTTTAAGGTTGCGTGTTGTTCAATCTTTCTTTTTATGAAAATTGATTGATTGTTCGTTGTTTTGGATGAACAGTACAAATACCTCAAAAAATATATCTATTTGCCTGATTTGTCAATATTTTCCTGCACATTAAATGTTAAAGAACACCTATCCAGAATTCACATCAACACATTATCAAACCCACGGTTAAGTATTAATTCTGAAAATAAAACTTCATTGTGAAAACTCCAAATAAAGTTTGGGGAAGAAAGGTTGATTAATTTTCTTTTCCGTACAAACTATCAAATTACAAAAAAATATATTTGGAAATTATGAGATCATGTTCAATAATAAGTAAAAACTAACATTGTTGAAATAATCTGAATTGAATGACGATTAATGTTCTACAAATAATTCTATTTTCTTACATTTTCTCCCTAAGATCTCACGAATAACAATAGAAAGTAGGAATAATAGTCCAGTAGTTGCCAAAAGTTCTCTTTTGTGCCTGCGCGCTACCCGTTATGAGAGAACCGACCTCACATGCAGCGATGCGAACGTAAATGAAGTAGTAGCAGTTAGACAAGCCACCTCCCTGCGGGCGCAATTTTCATCGCAAGAACTAATCTCGTTCCGCAGAGAGACCTCCAAAATGGCGCGGGGAAAGGTATGAAAAACGGAGCAATTTAGCGGTAGCAGTAACTGCATTAAATCACTCATCTCTAAATGGAATGCCTGAGGGATGATTCAAGGCGACAGATTGGGACATTGACCTCAATCGCTGGAGATATTCATTTGGAGGTAAGCAGGGACCATCTTCCACTTGTGCCAATGGAGGAATGTGATCGCACGGGCGACAGACTGCCTCGAACGCACTTAAGATAAATGTGTCAAGTGGAGACGAAATCAAATAATAAGGTATCAATCTCATCCAGATTTGGCTGAGTGAACGAGAGTGGAAAACGGGGTCGTTGTGGTTAGAAACTAATAAAGTACGAGATTGAGCAAGTTTTTTGGGGATGACCTAAAATTAAAGCAGGCCGTTAACATCAAGCAGACCCAGTAGTATACGAGTGGCATCCGTATATTATTTTATGAGTTTTTTAATTGAAGAACAAAATTATAATTTATGTACAGAATAATATTTGAGATAATTTTCGTTACCGCGATCAATGTAGATATTCGTTCTTGAAATGTTTGTTTGAGGTAATTCCTCTCAAATCTCCTTTATTTCCGTGATACATAAATCTTACCTTCCACTTTGAAGTGAACCTCTTCTGTCTCCGATGAGTCTCATTCCCTCCCTCATTGTTGGTGTCTCATCCTCTCTTCCCCTCCCCTACATCTCTTTCTGTAACTCTTCTTCTCTCTCTTGTTCGGTCTCTCTTTACATTCTTCCTCTTGATTCTTTTTTTTTCTTTCCTCTCCACTTTTTCTCCCTTCTTTCGTCGGACTCTGGCACTTCTCCCCTCCCTCACCTCTCCCCATTTTCCTTATTTGCTCTCTTTAAACATTCCTTGTTTACTCTCTCTTCATCTCCCTTGTTTACTGTGTCTGTACCTCCCTACTTTACTCTTTCTCAAATCATCATTTACTCTCTCCCTCACTCATGTACTCTCCACCCCTCTTTTACTATCTCCCCACTCATTCACTATCTCTCTCCCAGACTAGGTCTCTTCCTCCCTAATTTGTTCTCTTCCTTTCTCGTTTGCCCTCTTCCCCCCTCGTTTGCTCTCTCCCTCCCACATACTCTTCCTACCTCATTTGTTTTTTTTCCCTCCTACATAATCTTCCTTCTTCTTTTGTTATCTCCCTCACACATTCTCTTCCTTCCTCATTTGTTCTCTCCCTCCCACATACTCTTCCTTCCTCTTTTGTTATCTCCCTCATACATTCTCTTTCTTCCTCATTTGTTCTCTCCCTCCCACATACTCTTCCTCATTTGTTCTCTCCTTCCAACATACTCTTCCTTCCTCATTTGTTTCATCCCTCCCATATACTCCCATACACCCTTTCCTCAGTTGTTCTCTCCCTCTCGCATGCTTTCTTCCTTCCTTACTCATCCTCTCTCTCCCACACGCTCTCTCTCTCCATGCTGTCTCTTCCCCACGTGCTCCCTCTCCCTCCCGCATCCCCTGGACGCGTGGGCTGCCGGCCGCTGGGCGCGTACCTCCTTGCGCAGCTGCGCCAGGGAGAAGGGCGGCTGCGGGGCGCCGGGCGCCGTCTTGAGCGCGCGCGACAGCACCTGGTAGTAGCCCCTGAGCAGCGCGTCCTGCTCGGCGCGGGCGGCCGGCGCGGCCACGCCGCCGTACAGCAGGCGCACCAGGTCGAGTCAGGGTAGTCGTATAAGCTTAACACATCACTGTTGCTTCGCAACTCGGCATCACATATGGTAGAATCTTCATCCGGAAGAAGTCTTTCACTTTGGCAATTTTGACAGTCTGTGGTGTAGACTTGAATGCTGATAGTAGCACGGGCGCGGCCTCGCGATGAGCGGTATTATCGCATGACGGCGCATCCACTTCGCGAAAAGCGGCAGGGAGGAGTCTATTGACTCGGTGCAAAACCGTTGGGCTCGGCGCCGGAAAACGCGCCGAGTGCGACGGATCGGTTAAGCGCTATCTTCAGAGGAATATGAGATATCACCTGTGGTGAAACCTGGCGCATATTGTGAGCGTGGTAAACTACTCACATAACACTGGAATGATTTCTCAGTCAAAAAGCCTCCAAACACAATGAGATAAGTCAGCGCGTTCACGTGTTTGTTCGTGGTTCTTAGTAACTGATGTGAATGAAGGGTCTGTTCGACGTGCCAGCGGTGGGTCGCGGCGCGGGTCCGCCCTCCTCGGCCACAGGACTTAGCTGGGGCCGTTACCAGGCAAGTGTCGTTAGGCCAGACCAAAAGGAAATCCGAGCGACCGGCGAGCAGTAGCGGGCACGACACGCACGGACCGCACATGCCTGTCGAGCAGCTCGGCGCTGACCACTCGTAAAGGACGCTCGGGTGGTTTCTGCTGGCAGACGCTTCGAGGGCGGGGCACGGCTTCCGTGCTGGCATGCCGGCTTTGCTGGGGCGGCCGGCAGGCGCGCACATGGCGTGAGAGTTCGAGCGGAGGGGGAGCATGTTGGTAGGGTCGGGGGGCGGAGAGTGGCGGCAACAGCTTCATCGTTCACATGCTTTGCCTCCGACCGGAAGACGGCGTTGGCGCGCCGGGGTCGGCCGTCGCGTGCCTTAGCCCCGAAGCGGACGGAGACGATCAACCCGGAGTTGGCCGCTGTGGGCAAATTCCGAGGCTCAGCGGGCTAACCAACAATCCATCCCGTGGCAGGCGGGCGTCGATTATATGAGCAGCAGTACTGTCCGCCGCCGGTGCACCCGTAAGCGGTCCGACAGCAAGCGGCAGCCTGCGCACGGACACGCCAGTAAATAGGTGGCGCCGGCAGGGGCTCATAGAACGTAAGGGAAAGAGTGCGTGCGCACACACCGAATACTCACTGCAAAAAGGAAAGAAAAAAGCCATTGTTAGATAATAAGAAAAATTACTAGATCGTAAATCACTACAAAGTTATTTCATTCCATAATTACTATAGTAAATAGAACGTTGAATTTGATACGATATGGATCTATGATTGTAGTATACAGATCAGGACGTTATCTGTCTCCCAGCACGGAAAAGCAGTTGGATCTGATTGTGATGGGGTGTTAAGCACGTAGCAGATTGACCTGTGAAATGTTTTCATTAAGAGTCTGAAAGATGGATTTGGATGTGGGCGAGCGGGAAAAGAGTTTTGGAATGGGGGTCGATATTTTGAGGCCGATATTCCAAAGCATAGCCTTGTGTATATTGTCATCTTCTCTCCGCATACATTGACAGCGATATAGAGTTGGATGTTTGAGAGTCGTGATGACGTTGCGCACCTGTTGAAAATGAAAGGCAGTCACAGACAAGATATGTTTGGCGTTAATGTAGTTGAGACGCTGCACTTAGCATGTTGGGAGCAGAAACATCGTTTGACCGAGCCGGATAAGGGGAGTAAATGGATAGTAGTAATTGTGGCGATGAGACTTGGAGAGAGTAGTGTGAGAAAACGCTCGTTGTTGTAGAAGCGAAAGAGTTGGATGTTTGGTCGACGAGAGCAGACGACGTTATGTTAGGAGGTTGTTCGCATTCGAGGCGAGATATAGAAAGGGGAGAGCTGTGGCGATTGTTATGGAGAGAGGCGGAATAGGTGTAAGGGATGATTAGATGAGGAGAGAGAATGCAAGAAGATATCGGAAGGGTGTTGTCAGATGTAATAGAAAAAGAAGACGCGGAGAGGATGTGAGAGATGGAATCTGTTTGAGAAAGAGAAAGAATGATTGGATTGTAGAGTAGGAGAATAAGCGAAAGAGTTTGGAGTTGAGGGCGAAAAGAGTTGGATGTTGAGGGCGAAGTGTTGGATGTTTGAGGGCGAAAGGTTGGAATTGTTTGAGAGGCGAAGAAGTTGGATGTTTGAGGGCGAAGAGTTGGATTTGGAGAGCGAAAAGAGTTGGGATGTTTGAGAGCTAAAGAGTTGGATGTTAGAGAGGCGAAAATAATAGGGCTTTAGAGATTAGAGTTGTATGATGAGAGCAAGCAGAGTGGCTGATTAAGAGGAACGTAAGAGTTGGATGTTATCCGAAAGAGTTGATGTTAGAAAGAAACGAAGGAGTTTGGGATATTAGAGAGCGAAAGACCATGGATATTAGAAGGCAGAAAGAGTTTGATTGTTAGTGGGGCGAAAGGAGGTACAGACGTAACTATCGCAGGAAGTATAAAGACAAGTTAGCTGAGTGGATAATACGTTTTGAGGGATTTAAAACATATTTCTGATTCCGATAATCGCAGCAAGAAGAAAGCCAATATAGGGCGAATGTATTGACGCTCACCGTTTTTGGAAGGATTTAGAGAGCGAGTAAGTCAATACGGCTTGAAAACGCAGGTTACAGGTTATAGAATGGGAAATGGAGAGATTACAGCACGCAAAAGGCTTTCTGTCAGTAATGATCGTACCATATATTTGAGATCATTTAACAGCAAAGGATTCATGTGTAGTAATGAGACTGCAAGGTATGATATGTGTAATGTGGAGTACCAGGAAGGGAAAGACATTTAGGTAATTACCCACGCGTGATTAGGGGATTTATCTGAGAATTACTATTGGCACTAAGCTCTAGTGGTACGAGTATTTAATAGGACTATTCCCGCGAGTGAAATTATGTCCAACAGGGTTACAAAGGCGCCGTATATTAAATAAACGGAAAGGCGTTATATTTAAAATCAGAGGTTATGTTATAGTACATATGCTGTTTATTGAACAATGGATCGATGTATGCCGCCTCCTTCTGTAGATGATTCACAGTTTATTGATTGGCCAGTAGGTAGAAGTGGAAAGAAAATCGGGATATGAAAAGCTATGTAAATTTTTGAGATACACCGCCTGAATGGACATTTTGAATGTATATTAAACACTACTTGGTTTTAATTTCACGAGGTATAGTGAAACGAATACTCAGCTTAGGTGACCTCTTTTTTAATTCTGCCGCCTCCGTGCGATATGTCTCCCGTGCCACAAGACTCATTGAAGAACCATCGATTCTAGACAAGTCGTTGCACAATTTTGATGTAATTTCGAGAATGGATGATCCTACAAACATTATCCTTAATTTAGTGTTTACATTTTATGGTATGTTTGTTGTGATGCTGCTTGTAAAGCGACGGGAGATACCTGGAAGACACACATCTTTGATGGTTCGTGTCTGCCATGTACTAGCACGCTACGTAGAAGGCAACACTTAGTGGCCTGCAGCGAGTAAACAGATTGGATGCAAGGACAAAACTAGCAGGAATAAAAAGGTTTTTCATATACGCTCACGCATCTCACTCTGGCAAAAACTGGTAACATAATTGTAGAGATATGTTCTAGGATATACTCAGAACATTAAGTAAAATCATAAATCTTTTAACAAATAACATTCTTCGCGAATACTACAAGTAAAATACTGTTGTAGTCCTAAAAATTTTCATACAATATGTTGAAATAGTTCGGTTCATACAAGAATGTTTATAAAGATAGCTGTTTTACATAACAAGGGCGCATGAGATGAGATGTCGACAAATCAAAATAATGGCTTGGATAGGCATATCGATGCACTCTGAGGCATGGTGTCACATGGCACGAGAAGCTATACATATAGCTAGTTCTTGAGTGATGTCTACTTTAATTACATGCGAACTCTTGCGCGCAAGCGCTCGAGACACGTGCTCAGGATAAGGGATATCACTTGCGCCGCGCGCTCAACATCAAATATTTATATATTTCGGTTCTCTGTTGCGACAACTCTAAACAACTGCTTCTAGCTCAGCGATGGGTTGCTTCGTTTCAGAGAGCTCTGCTGGGTACATAGAGACCTCCCAAACAGTAACGGACAACTATCCACACCAGCACTATCAGGGAGGCGGGAGGAAGAGGGGTGTTTGTTTCCAAGTTTCGCACACGCGCAACTTTTTCTTATGATTGTGGTGGGAAATTGCTAAAGATAAAGCGTACGCAAGTGCTAAGTCCATAATTTTATCGGGGAGGTACTGGAGCGAACTTTCCTCACTTTACGGTAATACTGTACTCCGGCACATCCGACGCGTCCAATCTACCGTCCGCTTGCGCAGGTTTTTCCCCAACAAGGTTTCTCCACGATCCGCTCTCCATGGGTCAGCTACCCTCCCCGCCGGCCTAGCGGGACAAGCCTCCTAGAAGAGACTGCACACGCATAGGTCGGTCGCACGCTCTTCGCTGTGTGTGAGGTGCTAGTGGAGCTCGCTTTTTAAGTGTAAGGTGCTAATGTTGTAAGGGTTCGTGCCGTCCCAGAATATCTACCCAGGGTACTTTACCGCCTCTCAGCCGGCATTTCTCACCCGACCCCTCTATGTTGAACGCGAAGAACCTCGCGGCCGGAACCAACGTATCATGACGTCAGCGCCGGCCTCTCTAGATTTCTCCTCCCGACAGCGACTGAAAGCGTAACTGTGTCCAAAATCCTATCCGCAGTGGGACTCGAACTAAAACCTCGGTCAGAGGGCACTGTAATGACGTCAGTTGGTCCCGAGCGCAACTCTACTGTCTTGCTAGCTTTTAGTAAGCGCATGTACGCGTACGTAGCGATAGATAGAGACAAAGCAACTGCTTGGCGACATATGCCCGTAGTTTCTCCCAGCACGCGGGCAGTCGCGCACTTGGCGAGGCGAGCGTCGGCTAGGCGCTAGCACGCTTCCTGCTGTTACTGAGAGCCAAAGAGTAATCTATTTCAACGCACAT